TCGTCAGCGTCTTTTCTTCACCTCTTGATTCTGGGTCAGTTTTACCAGAATAAAAACAGCTTTGGTTTTGTTGTTGTGTACTTTTGTTTTCGTTTTTCCTTTCTATAAAAAAAATAATACTATGTTCATTTTTACAGGAGGGCAAACATCTTCACTTTTGTGTTTTTTGTTTTGAAAAGTAATGATGGTCTGTCTTGAAGGAGGAAAACGGTCTCGTTTTCCCTCCCAGAAAAGTAAACGCCAATAAGGCCAGTTTCAGGAGTGAGACAAAAGAAATAGAGTGGGGAAAAAAGGGGGTAGGGAGCGGGGGTAAAGCAGCTATTCCCAACCTATGGGTCGCGACTCTTCTTTTTTTGTGTGTGGGTCCAACGACCCTTTCACAGGGGTCGCCAAAGATCATGGCAAAAACAAATATTCATTCAAGTTATGAAGTAGCGACGAAAATACTTTTATGGTTGGGCGTCGCCAAACGTGAGGAATTGTATTAAAGGGTTGCCACAACGTGAGGAACCCTATTAAATGGTTGCAGCATTAGCAAGGCTGAGAACCATTGATGTAGAGCAATTCATATTAAATGGGCCTCAACAATTGACATTTTAATGAGAACGACAACATATCTTTGTGATATTAAACGAAATAGTGTTCTATTTAAAGCCAACCCCAGAAAACACTGAAGATAATATAGTAACAAGAAATTATTGATATATATATATATATATAGGCAGAAGGGATCACAACTTGATCACGGTAAACAGCAACGCCTATACAACACTGGAGTTTCAAGGGGCCTAAGCCTAGTTTAAGTTAATAATAATTAAAATTTTTTCCCTGAATGGCCAATAAATATACTAATATAGTTGAAATACAATGAAATTATAAATACAACCTTAAACAAGAGCGTCTACACGGTTCGGGGGAGGTTGGGAAGGGGGGTACTTAGCCCTTATGTTTCGGTGCCCACGATGGTACATTAAGAAACGTTACTATGTTCTTAAAGGTGAAGGTATCGTCATATGACTGGAGCCGTATGGATTTGATTCCACCTTATTGGACTATGTATTATTATTATTATTATTATCATTTATTAAAGTGAAAGCGGCTGTCCATGATTTAATTTTAATTAATTATCATTATCCTCATTCTTTTTGTATTTATTTATTTATTTTCCACGCCATGTTGTGTTTAACAGATCAGCACTATCCTCACTGGCGTTGGCACCAGCCTGTCCGTGCTGGTGGCTGTGTCTGCTTTGGTGTCCTTGTTCTTCAGTGACCTCGTGACCTGGCTGTTGACAAGACTGGCGGGGATACTGCAGATGTCGGCTGGTGAGTTGATGAAACAGTTCTCCATGAGGATGGATATTATTGTGTGTGGATTGTTATTTTGTGGGGTTGTTTGAAAGTTTTTCTTGCTGATTGTTCATCTACTCTGACCTCTGCCACGTTCATTCCGGTATTTTATTTTCACTTCAACCCAAACAAATGAAATCCTGGAGTATCCGGGAAAATCCAATTTTCTAGAGGGAGATATGGGTTGGGGTTGGGGTTAGGGTTAGGGTTAGTCGGTGACAAAATATTTCCCGCACCGGCTAATACCTGAACTTGCTATGCCACTGGGGAAGTCACAGGAGATTTTCCACACCGGCTACCACATGAACTTGCAATGCCACTAGGGAGTGATAAGACATTTTCCGTTCCGGGTACCACCTGCAGCACTTGCTACGCCAATGGGTCGACCTAGTAGCCGTACTAAATTTTGAAATATTCCGACCTAATGCAAATTCGAACTCAAGACCTTTAGGAAAGGCAGGCATCTTCTGATGCTGGTAAGCAGATTGGAACCAAAGGTAGCTTTCTGAGTGAGGTAATTTCTTTCAAAACGTGCGATACCTTTATTGTCATCTGTGCTGATCTTCATATTCCTGTATAAAAACCACATTCTTTCAACTACCACACAATTTATCCTTAATCTGCAGATGATGATTCAATCACGGACGTCAAGACTGGCAGACTGGCATCATGACTGTAAACATAATCCTTAAGACAGTCAACATTTTCAAAAAGTGAAGAAATAAAAGAAATGTCTGGGCAACCACTAGTATCAACAGTTAAAAGACGGAGAAGATAGTGCTACATTTGACACATCTCGGGTAGAAACTGAAAGAGAATTTCCAAACAGGCATTGAAATGCAAAAAAAAAAAAAAAGAATAACGAGGAAGATATAAAACCGAACGTAAAGTATATCAGCGAGCTTCATCATATAACAAACGCAAACAAAACGTGAACGTTGCGGTTATGGAGCCTTCTTCAGCACATACATAGAATAGAAAATACTACACATTCACAAATAACTTATCTTTGTATCTCGTGGCAGCCGGGTCGATGTCAAGACAATGATCTGGCGAGGCGCGTGGGGCCTTAAAAATGGCTATCCGGGAATATGCCAGGGGTCGTTACTCGAGGATAAAATGAAGCTGTGTAGGCAGTCTAGCTCCCCTATGGATAAGGTGAATCTGTATTGACAGTTAAGGTCACTGGGCACCAGGATTCCCAATGTGTAAATAAAGCGATGTTGAAGAGACTTGCCAACTTTGTCGCTGGAGTGGCTAGATTTATTGGCTGTCTCCTCTATGTCGTGGACACCTTGATGGTCATGGGAACTGAAATGCAGTGGTACTGGTTTCAGGGCGTCGTTGAGGCGAGGACACCAAACAGAAAAAACTCTAAGATGAATGTTGGTGATAGTGGCCAAAGCTGTTGAATTGAATTTCATCCATGATACTGAACTGATCTCACAGAATAGAACATAATAGAGGCATATACTCTGAGCCCTGTATGGCACAAAAATATCACACTTGAACTGTGGTGACTTGGGCGTGTGACTACCATTTTTTTAAGTGTGGTAATTCTAATGTTTTAACGTGACTCTACAGGTGTGCTTGTTATAATGGGAGTGATGATATATCCAAGAGGATGGGATGCTACGGAAGTCATTCAGGCATGTGGCCCGATGTCTGGCGCTTATCAACTTGGTAATGATGGACAACTGCATGAGAAAGTTTAATCAATCATTTTAATTGGCAGTCTAAACAGTCTATTTCCGTGAAATAAAACGTTCTCTCTGTATCTTCGCATCTTTATGGATTCATTTTGACAGTCTAAGCAGTCTGTTTCCATAAAATACAATGTTCTGTTCTGTAAATCCACATTTTCAGGAACAGAAGCTGACAGTCTAAGTCAGTGGCCCTCAACCTTCATAACGCAACAACCCTTTGATGCAGTTCCTCATGTCGTGGGGACCACCAACCACAAAATGATTTTCGTTTATATTTCGTAATTTCAGCGAGTATGTATTTTCCGATGATCTTTTTCGACCCCTGTGAAAGGGTCGTTCGATCCACAAAAGGGTCTCGACCCACTGGGTGAGAACCATTGTTCTAAATAATATGTTTAAATGAAATAAAACGTCTTTTCTGTGTGTCCACATTTTCAGGAATTCATTTTGACAGTCTAAATAATCTGTTTCCATGAAATAGAACGTTTTCGTCTGTATATCCACATCTTTAGGGCCTCAGTTTGACTCTCTCAGCAGTCGTTCCAGTTTTCTCATCCGCTTACTCCAGTGGGTCTGTCTAACTAATGTAAAGACCCATGAAACCATTCTAAATACACCCCTCGTCTTTAGAATGTAATCAATTTTTGCTGTTTTATTGTTTGTAAATATAAATCGTTTCTCAGTATAACTATTAAAATGTCTCGATTCCCCCTGAAAGAGCTTCAAAACAAGAGGAGTCCGCAGGTTTAAAAAAAAAGTAAAGTAAAGGCCTTTAGGATTATAGGGCATATGGGGCTAGACCTATATTTTTATAGACCATTCAGCACATGAAGGTGATGTGTCAGCATCACGCCGGCTGCCTTTACTGCTTGGGAAGGTACCTCGTACCCACTCAAGGCTGGGTCGACCTGGGAGTCAAGGTCATTTTTGAAACAAGTTTGGCTCCGCTAGGGAGCGAACCCACGACCTTCTGTTTCGCACGCGAGCGTCTGGCCACTACGCCACGGCGACTTCCTCCGCAGGTTTCAGATAGTTGAAAACTACTCGTCTAAATCTGTAGGTTTGCTGAATTTTGTTTGTCATTTTTTGTTGTCTGGTGGTGGGTGTATGTGTGTGTGTGTGAGTGAGTGCGTCTGTGTGTAAAACTGGATTTTCTTTCTATGTTTTCGTATTACTCAAGTTTCTCAAATATATTGGCAAATTTAGTGACGGAATTTGAATTTTTCTGGAAGTAAACGAACTTCGCGACAATGACTACAGTACCCAGTGCTAATTTAATGGGGGTTTTTTTTTTCCTGTAAAATACGAGAGTGAGGCCATTCATCTATGACATCGTCCCAAGTCTCTGTTTGTAGTTGGACTTATTTCGTGATATCACGTCCCTCTTTAGACTACATTTATAGCTACAAAAGGGCGTAGTGATATTAAGGTTTTTGTTTTTTGTTTAATCTGACATCGTAGTATTTTGTACGTGCTTCTGATTTTTTTTTTTGTTTGTTTCAGCTTTAGGTGGCATACTGAGGAATTAGGAATAATTATAGTAACAATAATAATAATAGTAATAATTAGTAAAGTAAAGTAAAGGACCCTTTTCCACGCCTTTCACGCGTATTGGGTATATAGGGCTAGACCTATATTTTATAGACCAAAGGCACAGGATGAGTGATGTGGTCAGCATCACGCCGGCATTAATAATAATAATAATAATAATAATAATAATAATAATAACAATAATACTGAAAAGTGTGTTTTAATATGCATTATACTTAGCCATTGAAGAATATTGTATCAAAATGTTTTCTTGTTTTTCTTATATTTAGGAGACTGCTCCTTGCACTGGTCTCTCTACATGACCGCCACTGGCGGGGCGATCACCATCGTCTGTTCAGTATTTTCTTGTCATGTCTTCAGAGGCAAATCCTACAGAACGTCGTATAGTGTCTAAGAAGTATCTGGGTCGACAGCAGGATTCAAACAGCCTCAGAAAGGATGCAAGGATTCATGATAAGGAAAACATATTCAAGATAACTGTGCAGTGAATCAATAAGAATATTTTAGGAAAAATACAAAAGCTAAACTGGCACCCATGAAAGACTTGAAGAATGTCAATTTCAATAATCCGCCACATTCGAACACGTGATCTCCAGGCTAGAAAAGACACAATGACATAAACTTTAATGTTAAGCAGACAGCACATACTAACGTAGACTGACTTTCTTATATATTTTTTTTTTGACATGCATTCTGTGTAAAACAATTCACGCACAAAAATCAATAAAGAAACATCTATTGTGTTCCCGTTTTTGATCATGAATTTACAGAATAGTATGAGGTATGATCGATGAAACTTGTCCTAGCCTAAAATTATAAAAGTATAGCACTGTCTTTGAAAAATAAATGTACCAAAGGTAGGAGTCGCCTTGGCGGAGAGGCTAGACGCTCGCCGCGGATCGGAAGGTCGTGGGTTCGATTCCTGGCGGAGCCGGACATTTTTCAAAAATGACTTTGGCTCCCAGGTCTACCCAGCCTTGAGTGGGTACCGGGTATAGTCCCGGGAAGTAAAGGCGGCCGGCGTGATGCTGACCACATAACGGATCTGGTACCGATTGGTCTATAAAATATAGGTCTAGCCTTATGTGCCCTATACGCCTAAAGGCGTGGGTCCTTTACTTTACTTTTTGGGTCTAAATATGTAAAAATAGCTCATGCAGTCGTCCCGAACTATACAGGTGAGGATTTTCTTTCTCTTTCTGTAGAAAAAATACTGTACACCTTACCCAAGATTCGAACCAGGGACATTTAATTAGGAGTCTTGCGTTCTAACCACTCAGCCAGTCGTTCACACAGTGCCCCTAAGATGAAAAAACAAAGTCATCTTGTTTTAATCAAAGATCCAAATGAAGAGCTTATAAAGAAACCTGGGAGAAGACAACAGTTGATCGAATGGAAGCATATGCAAATGGGTAAATACAGCCATTGTCACCATCACGATCATGTTCCTCCACATCTTGTAACCGCATGTATCATTTCGCTGCAGTTTTCCCACTTCAGGATAGTAGTCTGTAAAATAAGCACCTCAATGATACGAAACGGTTGCCAGAAACCATAACAAAAAGTTGTCAAGAACCTTGACAAAAGTTAGTAAAGAACCGTGACAAAAGGTTGTCAAGAACCGGGACAAAAGGTTGTCAAGAACCACGACGAAAGGTTACCAAGAACCATGACAAATAGTTGCCAAGAACCATGACGAAAGGTTATCAAGAACCATGACCAAAAGTTGCCAAGAACCATGACAAAAAGTTGCCAAGAACCATGACAAAAAATGTAACAGCTGTGACAAAAGGTTTTCAAGAACCACCATGATAAAATTTGTCATGAAACGAACATGACACAAGGTTGTCAAGAACCGGGACAAACGGTTGTCAAGAACCGCGACAAAAGGTTGTCAAGAACCACGACGAAAGGTTACCAAGAACCATGACAAAAGGATGTCAATAACCTTGACAAAAAGTTGTAAAGAACCATAACAAAAGGTTGTCAAGAGCTATGTTGAAATGTCAAGAACCATGATAAAGGATTGTCAAAAACCATGACAAAAGGTTGTCAAGAACTTTGACAAAAGGCTGTCAATAACCATGACAAAAAGTTGTCACAAACCATGATAACAGGTTATCAAGAGCTGTGTCAAAATGTTGTCAAGAACCGTGACAAAAATTTATGAAGAATCTTCTCTCTGTATCTTCATCCATCCCTCGTCCCTTAAATCTGCCCAGTTCTATTTATCCTGTACAGTTGTTTCTATGTCATGGATGGAATCCGGTCCAGCACCTTTGGCCTCTCTCATTAACATTCATCTTAGAGTTTCTTGTGAACATCTTCGCTTCCTCAGTCAATTTGTTTCACAGATATGTGCATATTGGAGATCCCGTGTTTGCTCTTTAACAGTGTTATAACGGTGAATACAAGTGTTTGTGCAGGCATTTGTCTATTTCCTTTCCAATGCATTAACTTTGTTCCGTATAGTCGTTCTTCAACTTTCATTTGCCTATGTTAAAACAATAACAAACAAGACACTCACACACACATACACACACCAATCCACACACACACACCCACCCCACACACGCACACACAATCACACGTGCACGCACACACACACACACGCCCACTTAGGCACACACACGGAAACTGCACATATTAGAACCGAAAATGCGGAACTAGATTTTAAACCTATTTAATTTAAGAGTTCCATATTTTAGTAAGGAATTCAAAAATTCTCCGTATATAACCATATTTGTATATATATGTCCGTAAAAATGTCTGTAGTATGGATGATAGGATGATATGAGCCTGGAAAATCGGGGTTTTTTTTTTTCCTTCTTAATCATTATATGCTTTTCCCCCTGATCTTTACTGTATGCTGTCTTTGTGCCGTCACATTTTACCAAATATTTAATTCACAATTTTTGACTGTCCAAGAATTGTCAACATTCTTTAGGGAAAAAATTTTTTTTGGTAATTTAACCGTATTTCTTTTCATAACGAAAAACGAAAGATAACTGCCTGAAAACAGTTGACAAAGTCAATAATTCCTTGCTGGTCTCCTCTGACCATATGTTAATGTCTCTGATATTGTAAAATCAATATTAAGAGTATCATAGCAACAGGCTTTGACGCCGTCCAGATACTGTCTAATCGAACACACCAGCAGACCGACACTGAATACACAGCACACCTGGAATGTTTACCCAATCCTTTTCAGGATATCTATTTCTATGGTCTCACCAAAAATGTCACGAATGTATTAATAAGGGACAAAATGTGATGTGAACGTAAGTAAGCAATTGTATAGTTATTCTACTTTGATATTAAACTAGAATGAGTAATAGATATAGCAATGTGTAGACAAATAAACAGATACATATAAGCTTATAGACGCAGTGCCATTCGATAATTATGTTCTTGTCCATGCATATTGATTAAAAGGAAAACCAGAGGCATGGATAGTCAAAAACAGACAGTACGTCACACCGACCATTGACAAATCAATTTATAGGCAGACATAAACGCGATGAATGAAAAAAAAAAGGGGGGGGGGGGGTTGGTTGGACAAACAGACAGAAAGCTAGACAGACATAAAGACAGACAGACATGCAGATATATGGATGATGGGGGTGGGGGGGGGGGGTGTAAAGGTAGATAGAAAGATTGATGAATAGGTAGATAGACAGATGGACAGACGTATAGATTGTAAGGACAGACCGACACACAGATTAGACAGACAGACAGACAGACAGACAGACAGACAGACAGACAGACAGACAGACAGACAGACAGACAGACAGACAGACAGACAGACAGGACAGGACAGACAGGACAGGACAGGACAGGACAGGACAGACAGGACAGGACAGGACAGGACAGGACAGACAGACAGACAGACAGACAGACAGACAGACAGACAGACAGACAGACAGACAGACAGACAGACAGACAGACAGACAGACAGACAGACAGACAGACAGACAGACAGACAGACAGACAGACAGACAGACAGACAGGACAGGACAGACAGGACAGGACAGGACAGACAGGACAGGACAGGACAGACAGGACAGACAGGACAGGACAGACAGACAGACAGACAGACAGACAGACAGACAGACAGACAGACAGACAGACAGTCAGACAGACAGACAGACAGACAGACAGACAGACAGACAGACAGACAGACAGACAGACAGACAGACAGACAGACAGACAGGACAGAACAGGACAGACAGAACATGACAGGACAGGACAGGACAGAACATGACAGACAGACAGACAGACAGACAGGACAGGACAGACAGACAGACAGACAGACAGACAGGACAGGACAGGACAGGACAGGACAGACAGAACATGACATGACATGACAGACAGACAGACAGACAGACAGACAGACAGATAGATAGATAGATAGATAGATAGATAGATAGTATAATAGATAGATAGATAGATAGATAGATAGATAGATAGATAGATAGATAGATAGATAGATAGATAGATAGATAGATAGATAGATAGATAGATAGATAGATAGATAGATAGACAGACAGACAGACAGACAGACAGACAGACAGACAGACAGACAGACAGACAGACAGACAGACAGACAGACAGACAGACAGACAGACAGACAGACAGACAGACAGACAGACAGACAGACAGACAGACAGACAGACAGACAGACAGACAGACAGACAGACAGACAGACAGACAGACAGACAGACAGACAGACAGACAGACAGACAGACAGACAGACAGACAGACAGACATGACAGAACATGACAGAACAGGACAGGACAGACAGAACATGACAGAACATGACAGAACATGACAGAACATGACAGAACATGACAGGACAGACAGACAGACAGACAGAACATGACAGGACAGGACAGGACAGACAGACAGACAGACAGACAGACAGACAGAACAGACAGGACAGGACAGGACAGGACAGGACAGGACAGACAGGACAGGACAGGACAGGACAGACAGACAGACAGACAGACAGACAGACAGACAGACAGACAGACAGACAGACAGACAGACAGACAGACAGACAGACAGACAGACAGACAGACAGACAGACAGACAGACAGACAGACAGACAGACAGATATATGGATGATGGGGGGGGGGGCGGTGTAAAGGTAGATAGAAAGATCCCTTTCAACGTCTTCAGGCTATAGGGTATATGGGGAGAGCGCCTACATTTTTACAGACCATCAGCACTATGTGTGTAATGTGGTCAGCATTACGCCGGCCGTCTTTACTTCCCCAGGACAGCCATCCCGGTACCCATTTTAGACCGGCGACCCCCCCCCCCCCCCCCATATCATGATAAAAATCCACGCAGCCAGCAGTGGGTTTCGATCTCGGGTCTTATACATTGTGA